CGGCAAATTTAAATTCAGCCTTCCCGTACCCGCGGGTAACACGTACGGCCCTGTAAAAGTTTTTCGGGTAAAACCAGTATCTTGGGAACCGCGGAAGGTAAAAGGCTGAAATTTTATGAGCATGCCCCCGCCCGTGCGCTATCCAGAAAATTTAAATTCAGCTTTCCCCTCCCCGCGGGTAACAACTACGGCCCCATGGAAATTTTTGACGGGTTAATTATTATCTCGGGAACCACGGAGTTTAGAAAGCTGAAATTTTGGGGTAATGACCCCCTGCCTACGCTCAATCCTGCCTATTCAGTTCAGCGCTCCCGCGCTCTTGACTATCACCTACGGCCTCGTGAAAATTTTGGCGGGTAAACTATTAACTCGGGGAATCACGGAAAGATATTCACCCTTCAAGGTTTCGAATTCAGCTTTCATGCGCAGGTGCATGAAATTTCTAACTATTTTTCAATGTTTCAACTATTTTTGCATAGATTAAAATAGAAGGCAGTGAAAATCATTAATAGACAATCGTTCGATGGACTGAATTGCACAAAACGCATGATCACACCGGCTAGTCTGGTGCGCGTTGCTGTTTTGTTTTTTTTAAAAAAAAAAGGCAAATTTAGGTAGAAGTGGAAATGCTTGATCGGACTCATGTTACCGGCAAATTTATGGCGATTAAAGCGGATCAGACGCACTACATAGTGGACTCGCTGAAAACGCCAATTGGAGTGGTGAAGCGTGCCGCTTTACGTATGGACGATACGCTTGTTATTAGCACCGATGTGACCGATGTTTTACCGCATTTTCGAGCATCTTCCTGTTGATTTGGCCGAGTAAAAAAATGTAGAGAACGTCCCTATGCGCTTCTGTGCTGTATTACCTAAATTTAGGATTTTTTGTTTTAATAGTTTCGATTTTAATAATTTTTGGTGGAACATTTGGCCAACATGTACCGAAAAAGGGGAGGGGAAATATTCAGCTCGGGATCGAAAAGCCTGACATATCTACGTTTAACGTGTGAAAGGTATTTAGCCCCGGGGTAAGTCTTGCTATTTTTAGGATGTGATATTATTTACATTTGATCAAATTCTGATCAAATTTTTCGCTAATGATCTTTCCGCCGATTCACCTACGTAAATATAGGGGCCATAAAAGGCCGAACCAAAATTGGACGCGGTCCAAGTAGGCTCACCAAAGAAGAGGATGAAATTGTCAAGTGGTTTTTTGCAGCCGCTGATAGGCCGAACCATATGTAATGGCTCGTACAAACTGAAGAAAATTAAGAACGGCTAAAAGCTAAAGTTATTTTTCTCCCCTCTATATACATTTCCCTTGTTTTGGCACCCCTCAACATGAATGCTACAAACGGCTTACTCTGAACGAATGAATCAACGTTCATTTACCTCCCTCTTTTCGTCTTTCAGCGTTTTGAGAAATCTTTGTGTACGTTGTTGTAAAAATCATTGTTATGTGTTTGCTCACCAAGTTGTTCTTGATAAACATTATTCAGAATCTCTTCCAGTCAGTTTGAGACTGCTGCAAAGCCTATGCTAATTCTTAGGGATCAAAGATCAAGAGGATGGGAAGCCCCAATTGAGTGATAACTCAGTTTTCAAGCTATTTCCTTCCCCCTTAGATTAATGAAAATGTAAGGAAATTTGCGTGTTCCGTTTTCGTCCCTTGGTGTTTGTTTTTCATCCCCTCATCATCAGTAAGTCATAAACTTGATTTTGCTTCTCTACAGTGTGCGTACACTCCAAGCATCACTCCACACAACGTTCCACCATACTAGTTCACCTCCTTCCCATAAAAATCTTTACTTAAGGTTACTTTGGACGAATGAATCAACGCTTATTTCGTTGTCGTCCAGCTCCCTCTTCCCGTCTTCCAGCTATTTCGAGAAATCTTTCTCCTTCTGCAATATGCGTTTTGTAACAGCGTTACAAAACGCGTATTGTTACGGGGTTGTCTGTGTGTGTGT